TGTGTTTAATTTCTGTTGATTACAACAAACGTGTGTTCTCAACATTTGATTTCATTTTAGAGTGTTAAAAATATTATTTTTTATATTTAATTTAATTCAATCATAAAAATTGCATAATTAGGGTTTTCTTTTCGAAATTAGGGTTTTAATAGGTTCACATTCACTTTAGTAATTTAGTTTCAGTTAAGGCAGCGATAGGTAAAATTGAACTAATCAATCTCTGTGGGACGATATTCGGACTCATTTAATCTACTTTATTACTTGTTAACGAACCGTACACTTGCGGTAGTTTTAAATCGAAGCCATCGACCCCCCTGGGGAGCTCTACCTTTACGTGAGTCCATCGATCCCCCTGGGACGCTCTACTTTTACGCGAGGTCATTGACCCCCCGAGGGCGCTCTACCTTTACGTGAGGCCATCGACCCCCCGAAGCGCTCTACCTTTACGCAAAATCATCTACCCCCCGAAAGTGACCTATGTGGCCACCCTAACACTTAGTCAAAAAGTCTCAGGTAAATTGACAAAGCTCCATGGCGGTTATTATGGGCACAGCCTCTAGGCGGGAAGTTATAGATCCCCCAGGAGAACGTGGGGTAGTGGAAAAGCCAACGTGGAACACGTGGTACCTTGATTGCCCGGCATTCACCCAACTTTCAGCTCCTATAAATACTCCCGAAGGCGACACAAGTAAGGGGATTGACATTTTTTTAGCTATCTGGACTCTATCCTTATTTTTCCTAACACTTATACTGATTCTTATGCCAAAGGTAAAATGAGGGAGAAAGCCCCGTCCTCACTTTTCAGGTTGTATACGCACGTCGAAGTAGCAAGAACGCGAATGGCCACCAGGTAGATCAAGAGGTATTATTCCACCACCATTTCAGTTTAAATTATAAGATATATAGAAATGAGCTGTGGAAAAATGGATAATACTTGTAGATCTCAAGTATTATGTCTTTTTGTTTTAATTTTGTAAACATTATACCCATTATTGTAATGCCTTTCCAAAACTGTAATCTAAGAAATTTATTAGGGGTTCTTAACACATGTTCGTGTTCGAATCACTTTCCAAAATGTAATCTTAAGAACCTTAACATTTGGATAAAGAAAAATCTTGGTAGGGACTAATCCTAAAGGTCCCAATGCCCATACTTGTGTGCCTCAGTTTTTCCTCCCATTCTCTATTCTCTCCATCTGGGAACAAATTTTGAATTACTGTATCTTACTGTAACAGAAAAGTCACAAAAATATATTTTATTACTGTTTTTATAATAAAACCAACTTTGTTTTAGTCCTAATTGCAAGAACATAAAACATGCATGCTAGTTCCATCAAACAGTGTAATGTAGCAAAGGATTGGTTTCTGATGGTACACTGCTCTCATGATCACTAGATGTCCATGTGGAGTTGAGGTCTGATAGCGATACTGATCCCACTTTAGTGCTGATTACTTGCGTATTCCTTTGGACAGTCGCTTGCACCTTAAATAGCCTGATATTCTCCAATTCCATGCTGACTTTTTTCATTGTTGGCCTTTTCTTCTCATTCAAATCCAAGCATCTATATGCTAAAGTAGCAACAGTAATAATGTCTTCATCTTTATCATGCTCTAAAATTATAGGGTCAAAAAATTTATGAAGGCAGTTTTGTTCCATAGACATAAGAAAACGCACAGCTAAACTTCTTTCATCTTCTATATCACTTGAAATTATTGGTTTCTGTCCTGATAAGAGCTCAATAAGAGCAACATCAAAGCTATAGACATCACTCTTATCAGTAAATTGGCTTGACCGGAAGTATTCTGGATCTAGATAGCCAAAGGTCCCCTTAACTAAGGTGGTGAAGTGAGTTTTATCTACTGCGATAGACCTTGAAATTCCAAAATCTGACACTTTGGGTCTATAGTTTTCATCTAGAAGGCTATTGCTCGACTTGATGTCCCCGTGATAAATGGGTGTGGAAGTTGAATAATGTAGATAAGCAAGAGCTCCTGCTACCTCTGCTGCAATTTTTAGGTGCATATCTCATGTCATAGGAAACTCAGCACTCAGGTCATGGATGTGATTGAAGAGGGTTCTATTAGCAATAAACTCGTAAACCAACAAAGGAACTTCTGTCTCCAAACAACATCCAAGTAGCGCAACAACATTTCTGTGGTTAATTTGAGAAAGGATTACGACCTCATTTATAAACTCATCCAATCCATTTTCACCTACTAACTTGGACTTCTTTACTGCAACAGTTCTCCCGTCAGATAACATGCCCTTATAAACTCTACCTTCACCATCTCGTCCAAGTATTCTACTTTCATTGAACTGATCGGTTGCCTTTGATAACTCCTTAGCTGTGAAAAGTCTTGTTTTTTCTACATGGCCTTCTTTAGTAGATATTTGTTGCCGTAATAAAAGACCACCATTTCGTTTGAAATATTTTTGTTTACGATTGCATTCCTTCTTGATAAGTGTATTTTATACACTTATGTAAACCTAAAAATATAGACATTTAATAGTTATTCAAAGCAATTATAGCCTAAATTGTTGTATATTTCATTTATTAGGTAAAAACTCGATGGTTGGAAGTTAAACCAAAAGAAAGAAGTGGAAAACGGCGAAAAACGGCGAAGTACAAAGTTGAGGACAAAATTGCAAATATCCAATGGTTGAATTGGACCATAAGAGATATTTTAAAGGTTGATGGGAGTCAATTGGATGCAATTAGAAGTAAAAAAGGAATGGAATATCATCAGAATATTACCATAAATCGACTTCCAATTACATGATATATTTTTCAGATTTTTAGCCAAGGATTGCGACCAATTTTTGGTATAGTAAACGTCCGAATTGGAAAACACATATTTCTAGAAAAATTGTATCCCGTTTAATTATCTTTCCAAAGCATTTTGAAACAACTCAATCGGATATCGGGAGACAAAGTTATGATCAAAATACTGACTACTATGTAGAGACAACGCGCACGAGAGTAACTTTCCTTATTCAATTGGAACTCTTTTGGAAACCAATTTGGATGTGATTTTTCACCAATTTTTAACCACTACAGATACTTAACAGGAGAATACACAAAGGGGCTCTCATACTTTTCTCTTATACATAATATACTCCTATATATTCATCAATTACCATCATCAAAGGAGGAGAGAATTCATTATTTTTGTGAGAGAATTGAAGGGGACTTGCAAGAATTCAATCAAGTGAAGATTCAAACTTGGTATCAGACAAAGAAGAGAGAACGCAAGTGGAGATTTATTAAGAAACTATTGAAGAGATTCAAAATTTCAAGATTTGTCTTCATCTTCTCAATTTATCAAAAATCCGGGTTATGTCTTTCCACTTATACATGATTTCTTGTAATTTAAATATGTTAGGCTAATTTTTCATATTTGCTAGGATGTGATGAACCCTTGTTATGAATTTTTAATTTGAATAATTTAATTGACTTTAATTTGTTTAATTATTTGGATGTTTATTATCGTTTTCATGTCTTTCAATTAATTGGCCAATAGTTGAATTGTTTGTGAATTTTGTTGTTATCGAGAGAGACAATAGGATCATTAGCACAAAATAATATAAATTGTGAGGTTCGATAAAAGATGGAGATATATCTCTATGCTTCATATGGTTTTTATAAGATGTTCTAGCTCGTTTAATGCATTTATCATGTTCGCATCTTTCATCGAATAATAGGAAGGTCGCATGAGGGGAATATATTTGATAACTATCGAGAGAGGTTTTCAATTAAAATAGGAACATTGACCAACAAGCATGATTTCAAATTGTCAATTTAAATTGTCGAACTAAAAATGGAGTAGCAAGGGGATTCCACATCTTAGCAATACTTCTCGCAAATTTGATAAATTTTTACTTGCTTTCTATTTAGTTGATAGATTTAATAGTGTTAGTTACAACTTGACCTTGCTATTCGATTAAGGGAATTATTAGTTTTAACTCGATCAAACACATAATCCTCGTGGGTTCGATACTCTACACACCACTTTATTACTTGTTCACGATCTCGTTCACTTGCAGGTAATCAATCGATCAAGTTTTTGGAGGCGTTGCTGGGGACTATTGTTTTTGACTAGTTTTAGTTAATTTTAACTTTAATCTGAATTTTTCTTATTTTTAGTTTAGTTCATTAATTTAAATTTTTTTTACAGTGTTTCTTGCTTTCTTTTTCAAGACTTTGTATGCGAAGTTCAAGAACTGGTGATCTTGCTCAATTTGACCCAGAAATCGAACGAACATTCAACTTTCAAAGAAGACAACAGCTTGAAACACATCAAAAATAGAAAGAGGAAGACATGGCAAACGAAAATCCGAATCAATTAGCCATCGGGGCTAATCTAGGAGTAGCACAACCGAATATCGCTGTAGTCAATGAAAATGCAAGGCTCATGGGAGAATATATGGTTCCACCGGTAGTGGAAAGCCAGTCGAGTATCGTATATCCGACGTTTGATCAGGCAAACTTCCACCTGAGGACAGATGTCATCAACACGTTCCAAAATGCGCTACAATTTTTTGGGAAAGCTACAGAGAATCTCAACGCTCATATATCAAGATTTCTGGACATGTGTGCAACAATTGAGTATTCGGGGGTTTCAAGCGAAGCAATTAGACTAAGGCTCTTCCCATACACATTGAGGGATTCAGCAAGGGAATGGTTAGACATTTGCCCACCGCAGAGCATTACAACATGGAACCAATTGAGTCAGAAATTTCATAGCAAATATTTCCCACCAAAAAGGATTGCAAGGCTAAGGGACAAGATCACCATTTTTCAGCAAATGGACTCAGAATGCTATTCAGAGGCTTGGGAATGATACAAGGGTTTACTTCGCCAGTGCCCACAACACGGATTGTAGAAATGGCTTCAAGTGCAATACTTTTACATTGGTTTGAACCCGAATAGCAGGGCAAACATAGACTCTGCGTGCGATGGTTCTATCACAAAAAGAACCGCGAACCAGGTCTACCAAATCATGGAGGATTTGGCATTTACCAGTGTACTTTGGCCTACTGAAAGAACGAGCAGAAAGAAAGTTGTTGGGGTATTCGAAGTTGATTCTTTAACAGCACTTTTAGCACAATTGGCATCATTGGCACAAAAGGTAAATCAGATGAGTGTAGCCCAAACAGTGGGACCGAAATGCAAACATTGTGGAGGGAACCACGAGAGTGTTGATTGTAACATAGGATCTCATTTTGCTCAGAAAATAGAAGACGTGAACTACACTCAGAATTTTCAAAGGCAACAACACAATCCAAATCCTAACACATATTACCCAGACTGGAGAAATCACCCAGGTTTTCAATGGAGTAATAATCAGGGAGCTCACATTGCTCCACAGCAGACCGCACCACCCGAATTTCAGCAGAATGAGAAGAAGACTTCGTTAGAAGATCTTGTGACTAAGTTAACAGAAATGTCCACTCAACATATGCAGAGAACGAATAAGAGCTTGCAAGTTCAGGATGCTGCCATAAAAAATTTGGAGAATCAAATGGGACAAATAGCTAAAGCACTCTCAGAAAGACAACAAGGAGCATTGTCAAGCGACACTGACATAAATCCTAAACAGCAAGTAATGGTAGTAAAAGTTGTAGAGAATGAGGAGGTTGGGACAATCACTACACGCAATGGGATTCAATTTCCAGAAATCACAGTCGAAAGACGGGTAAAAGTAAATGAAAAAGTACCTTCCATAGATGAGGAGCAAGTGGATAAATCCGAACAGCCAGATAAAATAGTTTCACATCAAGAGTCTGAAAATCTACAGGTTAAGACAATCGCCCATATCAAACCTTATTTGCCTCCTGTCACATTTCCACAGAGATTGCAAAAGATGAAGTTGGAAGAACAGTTTGCAAGGTTCTTGGATATCTTCAAGAAGCTTCATGTTAACATTCCACTAATTGAAGCTATATCTCAAATACCAAACTATGCAAAGTTTCTGAAAGAGATTCTATCCAAAAAGAAAAGGCTTACAGATTTCGAGACAATCAAGTTAAATGAGGTGTGTAGTGCCATATTGCATAATAAATTAACTCCTAAGCTACAAGATCCAGTGAGTCTCAAAATACGTTGCTCAATAGGGAATGATTCAAATTTTAATTATTTATGTGACTCAGGAGCAAATATAAACCTAATGCCCTTCAGTAGGGAATTAGGATTGAAAGAGCTAAAGGATACATCTATCTCCCTTCAATTAGCAGACAGATCAATCAAATACCCGGGAGAAGTAGTTGAGAACGTGCTCATTAAAGTAGGAAAATTTATATTCTCCATTGATTTTGTTGTCCTAGATATAGAGGAGCCATGGGATGCAGTGTTACTTATCTTGAGCAGATCCTTCCTATCAACAAGCCGAGCTGTCATGGACTTTGAAAGTGGCGAACTAACATTGAGAGTGGAAGATAAACAAGAGAATTTTAAGATCTAAAACACTATCGAGAATCCAGTACATAGAGAGATCAATAAAAAAAACTAAGGAAGAGTCCAATTATATTACTGCAAAGGTGCAACAAGGCTCGAAGGAGACAAAACCAAAAAATTTAGGAAGCCTTGGACGAGAGAGGAACGGAGGGTTCAAGGTTTGGAAGGCAAAACGAGGATGCAAAGCCGAAAATTGCAAGGAGTGCAAAAACTCAAGATACATGTTTAAACCACCCTGATCAATTTCTCCGTACAGTTTAGCTAAAGACTATAAATTAAGCGCTTATTGGGAGGCAACCCAATCTTCTAACGCTTTTATTTATTTTGCTTTCTGCATCGCATAGCATATAGATTTATTTTGATTATTTGGTTGCATTAGATTTAGGCACGTTTTAATTTGTAAGGTATCACCATCCTTAAATACTCCACTTAGGCCATTGAATTTATTGTCGGTATTTTGATTGTTTGGGCTAAGTAACACATGTTCTAGGTTATTTGATTTTTAATGCTTGATTTAACTGCTATGTTAGGAACATAACGTCGTGGAACGCTCAAACCAACACAGACCAAAGGAGAAATATGATGATAGAGATTTTCAAGTCGTCATCCATACTGCCTCACATATTCAACAGAAAACTTCGGGGAGTATTTTCTTCCTTTTCTTCCCCATTCCCTTATACTCTTACTTTTATTTTATGACATTGAGAACAATGTCGGGTTCAAGCTTGGGGGTGAAAAAAAAACATTGAATTTTTTGGTTTTTGTATGCTTGTGTGTTTTGGTGCGTTTGTTTAGTACTACTTAAAAAAAAAACAACAAATTTTTTTATTAGATTGCATGCTTGTGTGGGTTGGATAACCTGGCCAGCAATGATGATCTGAATTGAGATTTAGTGTTAATATATAAACTGTGGATAGTTTGCATGCTAGATTGATTGAAACTTAAACTTGCAAAACTTGATATTATACGCGCATAAGAATTGAGTTTGACATTGTGATGGAATGAGTTGTTTCATGCTCTTGATAGGTGGATTTAGTTGGACATAAATGCTTTACTCAAACTATACTAAACTAATTATTCTTAGACCAAATATAGCACAGTTTGGGGTGATTTTACTATTGTAGGAAGATACTGATGTGGCTAGGGATTTCTTGTGTGAAAAAAAAAATTGTATGGATTGTCTGAGATGAACATGATAAAATTGGGTGAAAGTCTTAAGTTGGAGGTCAGTTTTCTTGAATAGGTGTATGATAAGGGACATTGCACTAATCAAGACATATATTTTAAAATTTAAAATTTCTCTTTGAAGCTTTTATGACTCGAGCAATTAAGCCTGCAAGGGTATCTTAAAACCTGATTGCCTAAAGTCATCTAATTTGGGAGTCATCGGTCTAAAGCTCGCTATAGGGGTTATTTAGAAAGCACTCAAAGATGAAGTTGCCGTTGAAAAAATAAATAATTGTTCTCTTCAAAGCCTTTTTAACTCGGGTTATTAAGCCTATAAGGGTGTTTGAAGACCTAGTGCCCTTAAGTCGTCTGACTTGGAGGTCATCGACCTAAAGCCTGCTACATGAGTCATCTAGAAAGCTTAAAGGAGAGTTCAAAAAAAATAAAAATAAAAATAAAAATGCATTAAATACCTTGTTAAGTCCTAACACTAGTTCGAGGGAATTTGACTTTTGATGAAAGATAATTAGCCTACTTGAGTCTTGCAGTCGAAGCAATCAAATAATTGGAGAATCCTTATTCATTAATGTGTTGACTTGCAACTAGTGACATCCACCCAAATTGGATAGGGTGAGAATAGTAATTAAAAACTCAATCTTAGATCACATGCTGGGAAAAGAGTGAAAAAAATAAGTTTGGGGGTATACGAATTTTACGAGAGATGAAAGAATAAATTTGACCATAGAGGGTCAAAAATTGGAACAACTTGTGAAGTCATTAATGCCTACCTAGTTCTTCACACACACACACACAAACGTTGATTTTGCATTAAAAAAATGGATATTGGTTTGATATTGTGACTTTGAAGCAGTTTGTAAATTTAATACGGTGATCTCCATTCCCGATGTAAAAAGCGAGATTATCCAACCAAAATATTTTACATGTTTGTGTGTTTGTTAAATTAAGTTATGATTTTGTTTGAAGACAAACAAATGTTTATATTTGGGAGTGTTTGATAAGTGTATTATACACTTATGTAGACCTAAAATATATATATTTAATAGTTCTTTAAAGCAATTATAGCCTAAATTGTTGTATATTTCATTTATTAGGTAAAACTCGATGGTTGGAAGTTAAACCGAAAGAAAGAAGTAAAAAAAGGCGAAAAATAGCGAAGTACAAAGTTGAGGACCAAATAGTAAATATCCAATGGTTGACTTGGACCATAAGAGATATTTTAAAGATTGATGGGAGTCAACTGGATGCAATTAGAAGTCAAAAAGGAATGGAATATCATCAGAATATTACCATAAATCGACTTCCAATTACATGATATATTTTTTAGATTTTTAGTCAAGGATTGCGACCAATTTTTGGCATAGTAAACGTCCGAATTGGAAAATATCTGTTTCTAGGAAAATTGTAGCCCTTTTAGTTATCTTTCCAACGAATTTTGAATCACTCAATTGGATATCGGGAGACAAAGTTATGATCAAAATACTGACTGATGTGCAGAGACAAAAAAATCTGCGCACGAGTGTAACTTTCTTTATTCGATTGGAAATCTTTTGGAAACCAATTTGAACGTGATTTTTCACCAATTTTCGACCACTACAGATACCTAACAGGAGAATACACAAAGGGGGCTCTCATACTTTTCTCTTATATATAATATACTCCAATATATTCATCAATTATCATCATCAAAGGAGGAGAGAATTCATTATTTTCGTGAGAGAATTTAAGGGGACTTGCAAGAATTCAATCAAGTGAAGATTCAAACTTGGTATTGGATAAAGAAGAGAGAACGCAGGTGGAGATTTATTAAGAAATCATTGAAGAGATTCAAGATTTCAAGATTTGTCTTCATCTTCTCAATTTATCAAAAATCCAGATTCTGTCTTTCCACTTATATATGATTTTTTGTAATTTAAATATGTTAGACTAACTTTTCATATTTTCTAGGATGTGATGAACCCTTGTTATGAATTTTTAATTTGAATAATTTAATTGACATTAATTTGTTTAATTGTTTGGATGTTTATTATCATTTTCATGCTTTTCAATTAATTGGCTACTAGTTGAATTGTTTGTGGATTTTGTTATTATCGAGAGAGATTATAGGATCATTAGCACAAAATAATAAATATTGTGAGGCTCAATAGAGAATAGATATATACATCTATCCTTCATATGGTTTTTATAAGATGTTCTAGCTCGTTTAATGCATTTATCATGTTCGCATCTTTCATCAAGGGATAGGAAGGTCGCATGAGAGGAATATATTTGATAACTATCGAGAGAGGTTTTTTGGCCTACGGTTGACTTCTCGTTTTGATTATAACAAACAACAATTGTGTTTAAGTGATTATAGAAGTTTACGACAAGCGGAGCTCTTGCAAGTTTGGACAAAGTGGAAATCAAGCTACATATCAAGACTGCGATCACTTCAAGAAGAAATTAGAAGAAAATATATTTAGACACCTTGATTTCAAATGTTAAGGTAAAACACTTTAGTATTTGGCATATACGTCATTTGAAGCTTAAGCAACATTTCTTCGCACGACAAACACGATTTTTGCATAAAGAAAAGCACGAACGTATTACATACTTTCTGACATGTCAAAAAGTCCGTAAAATATGTTAGAAACATCCTTCATGAATTTACATTTTGCTACATTATTTAAAGAAGAAAAATTCCAAAAATATATTGATCTAGAGGACGCATCCGGTAGCTAAAGGACGCATCTGGTAGCTCTAGCAGACAAGTCCGGTAATTCTAGCGGACATCCGGTATGACAGGTTTGTCCAACGGTCAAGAAATCGAACGTTCTGACTTCTGAACAAAAAACGGTTAGTTGACCATCCAGTACGATAGTGGACGTCCGTTAGCTTCGTTCGGTAGAACAGAACTTTTGGCCGTTTTTGTTGCTATAAATACTAGATCACTTTACATTCAATATGAGACTTTATATGAGCATTTAAAGTGAGAAATCAGTAATCTATCACCTATATACATCTATTTCTTCAATCTATTTATTAGAAAAACATTTGATTGATCCAACTTTTGAAAAATCATTCTTATCAAAGTGTTTTTCATTTCTAACACTTGAGCTTCAATCATTGCTATCTACTAAAGTGTTAGCCATCTTCTCTTGTTGTATTTAACTTCAATTATATCATTTATTATAAGAGAAGTCTTTACTTGTATACTCCTTATCTTTCAAACTTATGGGTCGAGTTGAAGTCCCAGAAATTTCAACATTGTAAAGGAACAGTGCTCCTTATTTGTAAGTCACCAAAAGTGTTGTAAGATGGTTAGATTGCACCATAAGTCAATTAATATCGTGAAAAAGGCCTTGCTCGTGACGGAGAGCTTGGTAACAGGGGACGTAGATCATGATTGGATCGAACCTCCTTATTACATCGTTTGCACTCTCTTTTCCCTTCCTATTATTACTTTTGTGTTATCTTGTTTATGCATAGTTATTTGCTTAAATTTGCGCTTATTTTCGAAAAAGATCGAATAACCAATTCACCCCCCTCTTGGTTAGTTGTTCTTGGGCTTTCAATTGGTATCAGAGCTCGGTACCCTTTTTTTTTTTTTTTATTTTACAATCTTGAGTAATGGCTAACCAAGTTTTTCAAAATAGTGAGGGGCACTCTACAAACCGACCACCATTCTTTGATGGTACCGATTATAATTATTGGAACGCTAGAATGATGATATATGTTCAATCTATTGATTACAATATTTGGAAAGTTATTGAATATGGTCCATATGCTCCCACTAAAACTATTAAGGAGGATGGTAGACCGGACCAAACTCTTCCCAAATCT